ACAATTCTAACCCAAGGCCTGTCTGAAGTCCACAGACTTGACTTTACTAAACCCTGGCCCAGTCACCACCATCTGGAGACTGAATATAAAGTCTCTTAACCCAATTCTCTTACAGGTAAAGTGAGAATAGAAATATCTACCCATAAAAACTAAATAAAACTAAGATCCACCCAAATGTCCATCATCAGATGAATGGATCAACAAAACGTGGTCTGTCCATACAAAGGAATGTTAGTAAGTAAAACAAGCCAGACACAAAAAGACAAATACTGTATGATTCCTCCTATATGAGCAACCTAAAGCAGTCATAACCACAGAGAAAGAAAGCAGAGTGGTGGGGCTGCCAGGGCTGGGGAAAGGGGTGAGTGAGGAGTTAATATTTAATGGGTACAGAGGTTCAGGGGGGACGATAATAAAGTTCTGGAGGTAGATGGTGGTGATGGTTGCACAATGGGGATGTACTTCATTCCACTGAACTGTACACTAATGGTTAAAAAGGCAAATATTATGTACTTTTTGCCACACACACAAAGAAACAGCTCAGCACCCAGAGTCTGGTGCACCATAGCACTCAAATAAATAAACGTCTGCTGATTCTGCCACATTCCGCTACCTCCATGGGCCTTCCCCTCAGCTCGTCCCCTTTGCTAAATGCTTCTTGCACACTTGTTTGCCAAACAATTTGTCCCTTTAAAGCACAAAGACGTATCCTGCGAAGAGTCCTATGCACAAGTCATGGCTTTCCATCCAGGGACCCTGACAGCTCTCCAGCTAAACTAACCCCCCCTCCCCCCGCTGCCCACCCCTTACCCCTTCTCACCTCAGCTCATGATCAATACCATCCCACTCTCCACCAAAGGAGTGGAAAGAGCCTAGGGTCCCAGAGCCTCTGTTTCTCACCAGCTCCATGAAAGTGACCTATGGAAAGCACCCAATCCGACAACTGGCACCCAACAGGTGCTCCCTACATATCAGCTCTCACCTCCACAAACTTCCACAGGTGCCAAAAGTAAGAAGCAATAATCAAAAAAGGAAATGGTTAGAGTAGGAGTGGTACAGGGGGCTGACCCAGGGCATGGGTGCCCACAAAAGTAAGAGAGACTGTGGGAACGAAGCATAGCCATGATGATGGACTGGTAAGAAGAGATGAGTAGCCCTAGCCGATTGGCTCAGTGGATAACGCATCGGCCTGCGGACTGAAGGGTCCCGGGTTTGATTCTGGTCAAGGGCACATGCCCAGGTTGTGGGCTCTGTCCCTGGTGGGGGGCATGCAGGAGGCAGCCAATCAATTAAAAAGAAGACATGAGCAGTTTACTGGTGACTGCGGAGAAACCTAGAGTCTAGCTCAAAAGGAGCTTGCTTCCCAATAAGCAAAAGAAAGAGAAGACCTCAATTTGGCCTTGTAGGGAAGGTTAAAGCATAGAGTAGAAGGGGCTGTGAGAGCTCCATGACTCCCTGGGCCAGTAAACAACCAGATTTGAGTTTAGTCAGTTGAATTAAGTTGAATAGTGTCCCCCCAAAATTCTTGTCCACTGAGAACCTCAGAATGTGACCTTATTAGGAAATAGGGTCTTCACAGATGTAATTAGTTAAGATGAAGTCATACTGGATTAGGGTGGGCCCCGGTCCAAGGACTGGTGCCCTTATAAGAATATGAGAAGATACAGAGACAGACACAGAAGGAGCACGGCCATGTGACAACCGAGTCAGAGGTGGGAGTGATGCAGCCAACAGCCACGGAACAGCAAGGATTGCCAGCAAGCACCAGAAGCCAGGAGAGAGGCATGGAGCACATTCTCCCTCAGACCCTCAAAAGGAACCCGCCCAAGGACACCTGGATTTCACACGTCTGGCCTCCCAAACTGTTGTTTTAAGCCACTCATTTGTGGTAATTTCTTACAGCACCCCTAGGAGACAAACACAGCAGCCCCACGGGGGATCTGTGCTAAGAAGGGAGAACCTGGGTGGAAACCCCCAGGGTGGGCTCCTGGACTAGAGCCAGCTTGTTGGAAGACAGGGTCAGCCCTCTGTTCTCAGGGTCAGCCCTCTGTTCTCAGCTCCAGTGCTTCAAGCTGAGGGCCCTGGGAGCTTTCCAATGGGAATGAAAGCCTGACTTGGGCCTTCCAACAGCTGCTCAGTTGTTGTTTTACTTTCCCAAATACCCTTTCTTCCATCCAAAATCAATCCCACGTGGCTGCTGGACCGAGTTTCTATATCTGTACATTCCGCATCCTCAGGCGCTCAGGAAGACCGAGCCTTCCTAGATGCCTCCCAGCGGAAGGGACCTTTCCTGAGGAAGGTCTGCAGTGCTCTGCTGGATTCCCTCCTGACCCACTCCGCCTGCCTGGTCGTCAGCTACATGTGTGGCCACGCCTCACCCACCATATTGTGAGCAGGGACTAGATCTGCCCACTACACCTGGAACACAGAAGGCTCATGAAGGAGGGAATGAGTCCAGGAACCACCTCCGTGACCACCCTTCACAGCCAAGGTGGGGAGCTGGGAGATCAGGCATTTGCCCGAGGGATGGCTTGTGGGATGTTTCCAGTATTTTACTCCTTTCCCAAGTCTCCCACTACCCCAGCTCCTCACACACTCAAAGGCTTCTCTTCAGATGCCCTCCCATCCCTTGAGACCCAGCTCAGAAGAAAGCAGTGTCCACCTGTTAGAAGCCCCAAGAGATCATCCCCCTCCCTCATTGGAGGGGACCCCAAGGTTGCGGCGCCTCACCCCTTGCCTAGATTCTACTTCCAGAGCTGGACCATGAGGCCAGGGGCCTGCTGCCCCACCCCACAGGGTCCTTACCGTACATCTTGCCCTCATCCGACAGAATGATCTTGCGCCGGCCACAGGGTGGGTAGATGGCCAGGGCCTCCTGGAAGCTCTGCTCAATGTCCGGGCTCCAAACACCCTCCGCATCATTGTCGATGGGCTTGTCCAATGCCTGACTGCCCCCAGAGACGTTGCTCCCCTCAGGGGAGTTAGGAGAGCTCCACTCGTTGGAGGTAATGGTGCCGGCCTTGCCCTCCAAGGCTCCGCTTGGAGGAGCGCCTGTTGGACCTGTTTGGGCAGAAAACACAGCATTGGTGGAAGAACTAGGTGGACCATGGGATGTGGGTACCCAGGGAGTGCCAGGCCCACGACCAGCTGCTCTTCCTTGACAGGCCACTCACCACACAGGAACTTGGAGGGAAAAGGCCAGGGATTCTAGGAGACAAAGAGTAAAATGCAAGGTCTAGGATGATCAGAGGCCTAGGATCAGGCAGGTCACCTCCCCTCTGTAGACCTCAGCTTCCTACCTGTCACATGAGCACAATGACCTGGGCACTCTCTAATCGCAGCTCCAAGAACCCAGACAGGGCTGGGAAGTAGGAGACAAGGATGGCCTGGCATTAAATCAATAATGGACAAAAAGGATGAAAAACACTGTGTGCTGCCACGCCGGTGTGGCTCAGTGGTTGAATGTTGACCTATGAACCAGGAGGTTACAGTTTGATTCCCGGTGAGGGTACATGCCTGGGTTGTGGGCTTGATTCCGGTGCGGGGAAGGGAAGTGGGTGCAGGAGGCAACCAATCAATGACTCTCTCTCATCATTGATATTTCTATCTTTCTCTCTCCCTCTTCCTTTCTCTCTGAAATCAATAAAAATATATTTAAAAACAAAACAAACACTGTGTGCTGCTGACAGGAATATCAAATGGTACAGCCTGTGGGAGACAATATGGAGGGTCCTCAAAAAATTAAAAATAGAACTACCATGTGATCCAGCAATCCCTCTTCTAGGTATATATATATCCGAAAGAACTGAAAGCAGGGTCCTGAAGAGATATTTGTACACTCATGTTTATAGCAGCATTATTCACAATATCCAAGAGGTGGAAGCAACCCAAGTATCCCAGATGGATAATGGATGAACAAAATGTGATACAGACATACAATGGAATATTATACAGCCTTAAAAAGGAAGAAAACTCTGTCACATGCCACAACATGGATGAGCCTTGAGGACATCATGCTAAGTGAAATAAGTCAGCCACAAAAAGACAAATACTCGTCCACTTATATGGAGTATCTAGAGTAGTCAAATCCATAGAGACAGAACGTAGCACGGTGGTTGCCAGGGGATGGGGAGAGGAGGAAAGGAGAGTTGGTGTTCATGAGTATAGAGTTTCAGTTTTACAAGAAAAAATGTTCTGGAGATCTGTTGCACAACAATGTGAATATACATTTAACACCACTGAGCTATAGACTTAAAAATGGTTAATATGATAAACGTTATGTGTTTTACCACAATTAAAACTTTAAATTTAATTTAAAAAATATGTAAAGTAAAATGCAGCTCACCATTCTCTATGACATCCAGCTTTGTCTGTTTTTATTTTTTATTTTCAGTTAATCCCCACCAGAGGATATTTTTTTTCCATTGATTTTTAGAGAAAATGGAAGGGAGGGAGGGAGAGAGGAGGATAGAGAAACACTGATATGAGAAAGACACATCAACTGGTTGCCTCCTGCACGTGCCCCGACAGGGCTGGAGGATCGAACCTGCAACCCAGGTACATGCCTTTGCCTGGGAATCAAACCCTCAACCCTTCAGTGCATGAGTTAACACTCTAACCACTTACCCACACCAGCCAAGCCTGGCTGTTTTTAAAGAAAGCTTTTGGCCCTGGTGGATTCTCACATGTTGGGGCTCTGGCAAGTTAACTTGCTGGTGTCTCCAGAAGCTGACAACACATCCCTGCCCTTGCCATCAGCATAAGACAAATTCAGTGACCTCGGCACCAACTGTCCAAGCTATAAATTTCTGGACACAGTTCTCAGGGATTTGGGAAGGAGCAGGACATACTAGTAATCTTAAGGCAGTTTTTAGATTATGAGTACCAGGTGGGTACCATTTACCTCCCATGGCCCTACCTGAGCCCCCGGCCACTGAGCACATCTGCAAAGGAGGGTCTCTCCCCATCACACAGATCACCCCTTCCTCCCTCCCCTGTTAGCCATGAGGACCAGTGTAGCCCAGCAGCCCGAACCCAGGGGTAGGAGTCTGAAGACCCGAGTTCCAACCCACTTCCATCCAGGATCCTCACAGATAAGACCTTCCCAGAGCATCCCTCATGCTTGAAGTCTCTCACCCCCAACCCAGACATGTTAGCCCAGTGGTTCTCAACCTTCCTAATGCCGCGACCCTTTAATACAGTTCCTCATGTTGTGGTGACCCCTAACCATAAAATTATTTTCGTTGCTACTTCATAACTGTAATTTTGCTAGTTATGAATCGTAATGTAAATATCTGATATGCAGGATGTATTTTCATTGTTACAAATTGAATATAATTAAAGCATAGTGATTAATCACAAAAACAATATGTAATTATATATGTGTTTTCCGATGGTCTTAGGTGACCCCTATGGAAGGGTTGTTCGACCCCCAAAGGGGTCGCGACCCAGAAGTTGAGAACCGCTGTGTTAGCCGAACATTTCTTCACAGAGAGGTGGGTATGAGGGTCAGTGTGGTCACCATCCAGTGAAGGAAAGGGAGGAGCACAATGTATGTGTGTGTGGGGGGGGCGGTTACTGGGGGGCATACCCTGGGAGAGAGTGGAGGTTCCAAGGAACTTAGACTGCTGGCCCAGGCCTGAAGTCAGAAAAAGGTTAAACCATTGAAATTAAAACAGGAACCCCAGGGGAAACCTAACCCAATCCGCTCAACTTGCAGATGAGGACACTGAGGCCCAGAAATGCCTAAAGACTTGCCCAAGGTTATATAACAAGTCAACAGATCAGCTGGGTCTCGATCTCTGCCCTCACATCCCAGGCCTTTTAGCATAATTAAAGTTGGCTTTCTCTCTGTGGTTGTTAAAATCATTTTCCTCAAAGTGTGTCCAAGAGGGTCACCTGATCTGGAAAAAAACTAGCTTATTCTCCACCTGAAATTCTTGTCTTGATGCTATCATGAACCCAGAACTCTTTTTCTATACCTTCCAAAACAAAGTTCTTAAAAGAGATGGAACTTAGAAATGACAAATATAACAAATACTTTTTAATTTATATTTTAACAACAGCCATTTTATTTATTTATTTTTTACTTTTAAAAATATATTTTTATTATTGATTTCAGAAAGGAAGGGAGAGGAAGAGAGAGATAGAAACATCAATGATTATAGAGAATCAGTGATCAGCTGCCTCCTCTTTCACGTCCCCCCCTACTAGGGACCGAAACCAGGGCATGTGCCCCAACTGGGAATTGAACTGTGACCTCCTGGTCCATAGGTCAATGCTCAACCACTGAGTCACACAAGCTGGGCAACAGTACACTTTTAAATACATGGCTAACTTCAGATGAAAGTAAACTCCAGCAGCCCAAAATGAAAAAATGCTAAACTATAGAAATAAGCAGATGAGCTATTACTATAGTAGCTCTAGGAGGCAGGGCATGAGGCTAATCTTAGTAATAAGGCCACTGGGTTTTAATGGTTACTTAGAGATGAGACCTTAGACCTGAGAGATACAGGGACGTTGGAACTGGGAACTATACCTCAATCTTTACTGAAAAGATAGAATCCCAACAAAATATGACAGGGAAGATTTTCTTGGCCTGAGCTCTAGGTATAAAAAACAAAGGTCATGCCTAAGAATTTGTAACAAAAGGCCTACCGGTAAGTGGATTTGAGATTTAAATTTTATATCACTCAGGAACTCCCAGCCAATTCACAAAATAAACAGTGGTCTCAAGCTGAAAAATCTCTGAAAAGACAATTTTAACCCAGACTGGGGAGAATTACCAAAGGTAATGCTTTGCTAACAAGGGTCTCAAAATCCATAACTACAACATATAAGAAGAAATAATCTACCAGGATCAAAATTAGATCCCCAAGAACTACAGATAATTAAAATATCAGATTAAATATTATTCTATTAATTGTGTTTAAAATACTTATTGACTTAAAGAATTGGAAATATAAGAAAGAATTAGACACTACCAAAAAATGCAAAGTAGACTGGAAAAAGGACAAAATAAAACATTTAGAAATAAATATTTTAGTCACTAAAATTAAAAACTCAATGACTGAGATTAACAGCAAATTAGATACAGCTACAGGAAAAATTAACAACCTGAAAGATAGATCTGAGGACACTATTCAGAGATATATTATTTGTAAATGATTATAAAAAGCAAGGAGAATAAAAATGCAGTTCAACACGCCTCCAATTAGCATTCCAGAAAGAAAGTATAGAAAATGAAGTAAAATAACATTTGAAATAATAATGATAGGAAATTGTCCAGAATTAATGAAAATACATGAATTCTCCAATCCAGGAACTATACTGAATCCTAACCAGAATAAATTCAAATAAAATAAAGACATATTGCCCTAACCAGTTTGGCTCAGTGGATAGAGCATCGGTCTGCGGACTGAAAGGTCCCAGGTTTGATTCTGGTCAAGGGCATGTACCTTGATTGCGGGCACATCCCCAGTAGGGGGTGTGCAGGAGGCAGTTCATCGATGTTTCTCTCTCATCGATGTTTCTAGCTCTCTATCCCTCTCCCTTCCTCTCTGTAAAAAATCAATAAAATATATATTAAAAAAATAAAAAAATAAAGACATATTACAGGTGCATTTTAGAAAAACAAAAACAAAGAGTAGATATTAAAATCATGCAGAGTGAAAAAGGACAGAGTACCTACAAAGAAAGGACTACTATATATATGTATTTAATATTTATTTATTAAGTTAATTGGGGTGACAGGGACTATTATATTGTGTACATTGATCATGAATGTCTCAACAGTACACTAGAAGACCCAAAATAACATTTCCAAATTGTTGAGAAAAAAATGTCAACCTAGAATTTTTTCTTTTTATTAAATTTATTGGGGTGACATTGGTAGTAACATTATATAAGTTTCACATGTACAATTCTATAATATATCAATTTCCTTGCATCATAATATATTTGACCCCCTACCCCCTCTGGTAAATGCCATACTGTTGTCTGTGTCAACAGTTATTTTGTTTTGTTTGTCTGTTGCTTTCTGTTTTATATCCCACATATGAGTGACATCATATGTCAACTTAGAATTAAAAACCCAACCAAAATATTGCTCAAATGTGAACATTCAAGGTTATTTTCAGATAAAGGGGGAGATAATTTAGTACTAACAAACCCTTACTGGAAAAACAAAAAACAGTAAAGTAGGTCTTTAAAAAAAAGAAATTGATATAAAAAAAAGGCATTATACATGGAAGAGTGGTGAGCAAAGTAGCTGGTAAAAATAAGAGTGAATCTAAACAATATTAACTGTATAAAATAATAACAACAATAATGACCACTAAGTCTGGCCGTACAATACACACACACACACACACTCACACACATGCACAGAAAAACCATGTTTCTAAACCATAAATTCAGAAGCTGCATTTGGTAAAATCTGATACAGTTCAAGACCCATCTATAATAATAAAAGCGTAATATGCTAATTAGGCTGGATGTCCTTCCTGACGACCTTCCGGACAAAGCTGGGGCTGCGAGGGAAGCCCGGGTCCTGGGTGCCAGAGGGAAACCCGTGTTGGCAGCCGGGGGAAGGAAGGCCTACTCTTGCACGAATTTCGTGCATCGGGCCTCTAGTTTACAATAAAATCTCTTAGCAAACTGCTAGAAACAAAAGGAACTTCTTTAACTCACCAAAACATATCTTCACAAAACCTACTGTGATATTATGATTTATAATAAGAACTATATATTTGGTCTTTGTCCAGCTTTCTGGCAAAGAGCTCCCACAACACTTGGAATTTCCTAAGCGATGAAAGTGATGGAGGAGTTTTGCTATGTGAATGAGGTGACTTTTGGAAAGCACCTGTGGATGGGGCTGGTGGTCAGGAGAACCAACCATGTGACTAGAGGGTTAGAACTTTCAGTGTCCCCTCACCCTCACCTCTGGAGAGGAGAGAGAAGCTGAAGGTTCACCAATTGCCTATGGCCAATGCATGGTCAAGGATTTAACCAATCATGCCTAGGTAATGAAGCCTCCATAAACCCCAAAAGGACAACCAATGGGAGGGCGCGGGCAGCAAGTGAGATGAAGCACTGAGGCTTCCTCCCCTTTGCCCTCCTCAGCCTGCTGGTGCTCACCTATGCGGAGGTCAAAAAAGAAAGACAATCAAATTATTAAAACTTCTAAGAGGAAAAAACAACAACTTTTAAGAGAATTCAGCAAGCAAACTCAATTACATTCTTTTATTTTTAATCCACACCTGAGGATATGTTTATTGATTTTAGAGAGAGGAAGGGGGGTAGAGAGAAAAACACTTATGTAAGAAACAATCAATTGGTTGCTTCTAGTTTGCAGGGATTGAACCCACAACCTAAATATGTGCCCTGACTGGGAACTGAACCTGCAACTTTTTGATGTATGGGACTATGCTCCAATCCACTGAGCCACCTAGCCAGGGCTCAATTACATTCTTTTATAGTATACCAGAAATAAGGTATTGGACAATATAATATTTTAAAATATTCCATTTAGAAAGCAAAATCATAACTTATCTAGTGCTAAATCTAAGAGCAGATGAGACCTTTATAGAGAAAATCTTAACTATTTGGAAGACAAAACACCTAAGTAAATGAAGAGGAAATGGTATGTTCATGATTGGGAAAATGTAAAGATGTTCAATCTTTACAAATAAATCATAAATTCAATTAAGTTTTTATTAAAACCCCACAAGATTTCACAAAACTTAAGCTGATTCTCAAAATATGTAGAAAACCCAAGCCCATTCTCCAGTTGTCTAACTCACTGTCTTCACTTTTCCTTTCCTTTCCTTTCCTTTCCTTGGCTTCACATTTTGCCAGACCCATTCTATAAATGTTTCATCAGGGTTCTGACCTGACCTCTTTGTTTTAAACCTTATACATACTCCATGGGAGATCACATGGCTTTACAACACCACTACATGTTTTTGATTCCCAAATCTGTTATGTCTTTCCTGAGTTTAGGCCTTATTAGCAAATGCCTACCAGGCAGTTCAAATCAGACATCCCCAAAGTTCCTCAAACTCAACATGTCCAAAATCAAATTTGTAGCTTGCCATGAGTCCTGTTCCTCCTCCTCTCCCAGGCAATGACACCACCAACCATCCAGAGACCAAAAACTTAGGAGTGTATTTTGACTTTTTCCTCTTATCTCGCATAAACAATGACCACGACCTGTCTTTCTTTCTCCTAAATGTCTTATTGAACCCACTTCTCTTTCTATCTCAGAGTCTTAATCCAAAGCTTCCACCTATGCTTACCTGGATAACTATGTCCACTCCACCCAGTCTCTATGATTTCTTCACTGCAGCTGGAATGATTTTTTCTCTCTTTTTTTAAAAAAAGAAAGAAATATTTTTATTGATTTTAGAGAGACAGGAAGGGAGAGGAAGAGAAACAAACATTGATGTGAGAGAGTAACATCCATTGGCTGCCTCCTGCACGCCCCCCGCTTGGGATGGAGCCCGAAACCTAGGCATGTGCCCTGACTGGGAATTGAACTGGCAACCCTTTGGTACATGGGACAATGCCCAATCAACTGAGCCACACTGGCCAGAGCTGGAATGATTTTTCTACAATACAAATCTGATCGTGTGATTTCTTCTACTGTTTAAAATCTTTCAATAGCTTCCCCATGATGTCAGATAAAATGATATACTCCGTAATGGGACTTTAGAATGCCCTTCCTCAACAGATTCCTGCTCTTCTGCCATACCTGCCATCCACCTGCAACATCCTCTTGACTTCCTTCTTTGCACCCATCCCCAACCTCCAAACTCAATTATCTAAATGATACCCTCAACATGCTAAGCTCTTTCTCCACACCTGGAAGTGCTACCTGTAACTTTTCTCCCCACCCCCCTTCTTTCACCTGATTAAGTCCTGGCCAAAATGTCACTTCCTCTGGGGAAATGAGCCTGGATTATGCCCCCTCTTATGTGCTCCAACAGAGCCCTGTGCTTCTGGCATCCTAGCCATCATCCCAAGAAAGATTGGTCTCCTTCACCACACTTCAGGCACCACAGGGACAGGGATGGTTTTCTGTTTCCTAGTAAGTCCAAGCACATCGAACAATGCTAGAGAACAAAAGGATAAACATGAATGGATATCTCCTAAGTGTTCTTTGTGAAATAATGATTTCTCTGTGGGGAGGAAGAACTGTTTGTTCTGTGTTTAGTGTCAGAAAATAAAAGAAAATCTCCATAAATGTCTGGACATCGGCATACCAGTGGGAGAGCTCGAGTTGCTGTAAATCCTGGGGGGATTTACTTTGGAGGCTTGTAAAATTAAAGTGTGATGTCTGGGAATCAAGAGACTGGTTTTGGTTGCAGTTCTACAAGCACTGTGTGACCATGATCAATCCCTCCAGTTCTCTGAGCCTCAGTTTGCTCATTTATAAAACTAAGATGAGGGTTTGCTCCCACTGTGATCAAAGGTTCCTTCTGTCCTAGCAGTGTCTGTGGCTCACACTCTTGCCCAGACCCTCCATGTCCTCAGGGAGCTTGTCTATCCGCTGCTGGACATATCCTGCAGACTTTCACCTGTGGCTTTGCTCAGAGAAGGCTGAGGAACTGATCTGCCATGGAGAGATGTTCCATATGATGGTCAATAAGATGATATGTTAACCTGTTTGGAGCCTGACACAGTCAGTACTCAATTAGAGCTGTACTGTCACCATCACCACCCTCACAATCATTACTAAGCTATAAATAAATGCCTCAACTAGAAGATCTAAAGCCCTAAATGGACCTGATAGGTACATATATCTTAAGCCCTAATACCCAATATTAATTGATGTTAATTAATTACTATTAACATCTAAAGCTTCTACTGTTTAAAATCTTTCAATAGCTTCCCCATGATGTCAGATAAAATGATATACTCCGTAATGGGATCCCGTAATGGGGTGTTGCAGGTGGATGGAAGGTATGGCAGAAGAGCAGGAATCTGTTGAGGAAGGGCTTTCTAAACAGTAAAGCTGTCCTGGTTTTAGACTAGATCTTCTGTTGGGACCTGACACTACACACAGATGGAGAGTCCAGACCAGGTGGAGCATGCTGTGGAGGCCAGAAAGTTAGGAGATCTGCATGAGCCACACTAAGAGCCAGAGGCTATGGTCTCCAGGCCTGTCCTTCACTCAAGCTGTGCTGGACCAGCAGATGAAATGAACATCCTGGGTTCCTGCAGAAGTTGAGCACAGGGCAGCCCAGCAGAACACCAGACCTGGGGAGAACCAGACTTGAGCCAGACGCTGCCCCATGAGGGAGGTTTCCTGAGGACCTGAACTCCGTGTCCCCAAGGTTGGGTCTGTCCCAGCAAAAGCAGGGCAGCGGGTCACCCAAGGCCCTGGGCCACGGGATTCATTACCGAAATGGAGTTGCTCCCAGCCCTGTGTGGCCTGCTCCCATCTCCTGGTCTAGACTCTCCCACCCTTATCGCCCACAGCCAGGCCTGGCAGCTAGCTAGTTCCCTCATTAGGCAAACCTCCCATATAGCCTCTGTCCCTCAGCTAGGAGAATGGGGGGTAAGCCAATATCAGTCCAGAAAAGGATCCTCACTCCTCTCCTCCTTCCCCAAGTGTTCCACAGTGACCTTGGGGCCTGCCAGACAGAGCTGGAGGGGGGGCTGGGGTGGGGAACAGATGGCATCATTAAGCCCGGGCCATGTGCCATGACCAGAGGAATAAAAATAATCCCTGACTTGGCTCCCAGGGCCTGGCCACCACCCCACCCTGTTCTGCCCACTACCCCACCCAAAAGGCTACCAGAAAGGCCACCCAATGCAAACTCCAGGCCCAAACAACACTCAGCTCCATCCTAGGGGCCACAGACGCTGGTTACTCAGGAATTTTGAGAAGATTCATGAATTTATAGGCTTTTATTACAATCTTTCTAATAATGAGAACAACAATTTCCTCAAAACCCTTTTCAGGACAGGAAGGAAAAATGGAGAAATTGAGGCTCAATGATAGCAAAGAATTTGCCTGAAGAAACTGGCGAAACCAGACCTCAGACCCTGAAGTCCTGTCCCCTGGCTGTGTCCTTAAAACACCCACCTGCTGCTCTCAAAGCCCACCTCCTCCTTCGGGAGCCTTTCCTCAGCCATGGGTGATCTCTAAGGCCCCACCTAACTCCCACCAGCCTCTAGCTTCCAACACTCAACTAAAAAATGACACTGGTCTGGAAAAAAGGACTGCACCCTTGGTCACCTGTTTCCCCCTGGGAGTGGAGAACCTCCTTAGGAACTATACATTTATCATTG